ATCACATGCTTTAATAACGGAGCTGGTCATTACACCCTTGTTGTTTCCTACTGTATTTTATTCTTTATCTGATCATTTAGGTCCAAGATAATGTCCCCACAAATACGTCCACACTGCAGATGGCAGGTTTTGTTACAAGTGTTTGGCAACCAAATATTGAAAGTAATTATTTATGCTGTACTCATTACCTACCATCAGGAAATGAAGACAATATTAAATAGACAGTAAAGCTATTCTGCTGGAGCCCATAATCAGTTATTTTGTGAATAAAGATGCTCATATATACAGTAGCTTTGAAAACCTTAATCATTAATATAGGATTTCATTTTTTACAGATAAAATTATATAACAAAATATTTAGTTATACATATGATTCCAGGATGTTGTGCGCCATATTGTCTCTACTGTAGTAAAATACACAATAGCACAAACACTAAAACTATTATGCAATAATTTCAGTGCATGGGTATAAAGAGTATAAAGAGGTTTTTGGCCGTTTACTAAATAAAAGAAAGAAGGAAAAAACGACAATTATTACCCAACAAGACAAGAACTGGTGGAGACTTAACCACAAAGAGTAAAATATCCAAACTGCAAAACCTTCTTTTTGTTAATGTAGGAACATGTACAAGCCTTCTTTCAGCCAGATGACCAAAAGTATGCAGCAACAGGTGGGGGAGAGGAAGCACTGTATTACTCAAGGCCTAAGGCCAGAGAAAACTATACTCACCCCTGTATTTGTCCACGTATCTCAATAAAGGACCTTAAAACTCTTGGGTATAATAAAAAATATGTTGGTGGCTTTTCTTATATAGATTTTTTAAAACCCTAGCAAACCTTATACAAGCAACCAGGTCACAACTAACTGTGATCAATGCTGCTTGGTAAACCACCCAAAAAAATCCTTTCCATTATTGATCACCACTTGGTTTCTTGCATTCTATTAAGATTTTGTTCAAACAGTCCAAGCAGACCATGGAATTGGACTGAGCTCTTGTGTTTTGAACTTCTGTAAAGCACTTAGGCCACTCGAGTCTCTCAGTCTGCACCGTTGCCCTTCTTTAAATAGTCAAGAGCAGCACGGGCTTTTGCATGAGAACCCACTGAAAGCCGCCTATTGAAACGTAGATCAGCGGAAGGCGAGACAATGACCTCCTCCATGTCCACGATTAGGCTCTGAGAGGTGCAGCCTTTCATCTGCAGATATTCCACTGTTTGATTTAGAGAGGAAGAAAATCGTACTTGAGCAGGGCGCACACAGGAACTACACACTTCATGGGGGAAAAAAAAAAGACTACAGCTTGTAAGAAATTAGCCCGTGAGAGCGTAGCACAGCGGCCGGCTCCATGCTGAAAGCATCCGGCCCGCTTTTGTAATCCAACAACAACATCTCTGGAGAGACGGCCTTATGAAGAGCTCACTGCTTCAAGCACATGGTCTGGGAAGAGTGTTGCTCTGGAGTGGATGGACTGGGCCATTCAACTTATCATGCCCAAAAGTATTCAGTGACCAAAAGGCCACTCAACAGAGCTCAAGAGCTGTGTTTACGTCATCTTTTTCCTGAAGTGCCTCTGAATAAAACTCCTCTCCCTTTGTGTTGCACTGAGACGGCCATGTGATGTCATAGTGGAACCATGAAACCCTAACATGATTGGAACAGACAGTGACCACACTCAGGGCGCACTGTGACTTTGAAAGTGGCACAGAGTTCATCCTTCAAATATTAATGTGAGCTCAGTCATTTTCTGAGTTACAGTTAAGCCAGGAGGTCCACCGCAGCCTCTCTAACAGCACCCAGAGTGTCTTCCGCTTATGTCTGCAGTTCTCCTGAGATGGATGTCAGCCCTGGATGCATTTAGAGCCATTTGCTGATGCACTTCCATTTACTGTCAAGGAGAGCCTGCCTGTACTGTAAATGCAGACTATCGTCCTGTATGGGAGAATCCCTGCGAGCGTAACAAGATGAACCCAAGCAGGGATTTAAGGACAAGTGTTTTGGTTTCCACTCGGCAGACATAAGGACAAGACACTTTTACAATACCTTATATATGCGGATCAAAACTGTACAGACCCTGTTTGGTCCCAAGCATTGGTGATGTAGAAATGAAAAATCTAAATGTTACTCATCTTTAATGTGAAGGATATTCTACGCATCTTAACAGGAAAATAACGTAATGCATTTCAAGACTTTGCCACATTAAAAATTTTATTAAAATGTTTCATATCTTAATGTGGAACTATAGTGTACCTTTAAGGACTTGGATAAGAACTCATGATAGAAATTATTCTTTAAGCATCTGGAAACACTGGAACCATCTGTCTGCATTTTTAAATAAATCATATTGTTAACTTTAATCACTTTGCAACTGATTTAGTTTTAAAGTTATTTGCTGCTTATAGGATAAAAGCCAGTGCATCTGAAGCAAAAGTAAACAACATAAGCGTTCACATACCCTTAATCTAATGCTTTAAGCGCCTCTTGATTGAATTTTAGCATTAAGTCTTAAGTTTACACACGTCATCAATTACAGCAACTCTAAGTAACCTGAAATAGCTTTACTAGTAGCTTTGACTCGAGAGTTGCATCATTTAGTTTAACTCACAAAATATTTCATCGTAAAGACATCAGTAAGGACAAAAAAACAGAATCCGATATAAGTTTAAAACCAGTGAGTGTTAAATACAATTTAGTCATATGATGGTGACATAAAAAAATTTAAAAAAGGAGGGAGGTTGTATGCAATACTTAGTAAAGCGGTTTGCATTTCTTACATGCACTCAATGACAACAATCTACTAAATTCTATAAAAGATAAGGTTGCAAAACAGAAATCTTTCTTTAATAAAAACTTTGAAGCCTAATTGAAGACACCACCGACCTTCTGGAAGAATGTATTATGATCTAAATATTTAAAAGAATAATTATGTCAACAAAAAGACACGAAACATGGTAGTGGCAGCATAATGCTCTGATTTTACTTTACTTGATATGAAGTAAAAATATAACAAGGACACTTTTAAAGCCTCTAAGAGTTATTAAGAAACCTAAAGATGAAAAGGAATTTTATTTTCCTCAATTAGTATGAGTTCCTGCATCCATCCAATTCAAGAGTGGCTGAATTCAAACTCTAGAAGCCAGAGTCTGGAAGTAATTCAAGAAAAAATTACGATGTGGAATCTAGGCTCAAACCAATGACATCTAATATTAACATTAATATCTTAATATATATTAATATAATATCTAATATTTCCTAGTCCTTGTTCCTTCATATTTCACAGGGTCAACAATAAGAGCATTGTGGGTAGGAACAGAAGGCTGTGCCCGCTGTATTGACAGCCTTAACCCTTACAGATGTCATTATAAGATGCGTGGGCAGTTCTAGACAGGGGCTAACAGGGGCCAGTGTCCCCGTAGAACTGGTCATGACCCCTAATATGGGCCCTGTACCAAAGACATTATACGTACTGGAACAGAAACCGCAACTTAATAGTCTCTACAACCAGTTTAGAGTTTTTACAGCTTTATTTTATTGATGATTTAAAAGTAAAGTTGTTGCAATTTTTGCTTCAGCCTGATAGGATCTGAGTTTTCATCAGATACACCCAAGTGTGACAGTGTGGGGTCCTGGCTCTCTGAGTGATGATGCATCTTGGCTACTTAGCCAAGAGAATATTCCTAAGGTGGCCTGGTCAGCATGGCTTTCACCTGGGAGTCCTGGGATTGAATTCTGCCCAGGCCTTCTGTTGTTTACCCTGCCAGAGCTGCAAATGGCTCTTTGGTTCTTGTAATATGTCCAGGAACGTTTTAATTTTTTTATGTGGTGCACCCATATAAATACACTAAACCCCACATGGCCCCCTGGTAAATTTGGTCTAGAACTACCACATGTGATTAAAATGCACATGTGTGATGCTAGTGACACTGGGACTACAGCCTTCCTGCAAAAGAAAGTTACAGAGTTGTAGTGAACAGCTGAAGTTCCCTCTCTAAACCTATGAAGGAGATTTTCACACACAGTACACCTGAAGCGATAATATATTTTTAGACATTTTTGACAGGTGTCTTATGCATCATATCAAGCAAAGGATTTTGGGATTTCTTACAACATCTAAGCACCAGACACAAATGACGGGGTTCCTTTTCTGACAGCACCTATCATGGCGACCGTTAATGCATGTCTGCTCCTTACTAATCTGTTGTATTCAGATTGAGCGGAATACAGTTTGATAGATCTGAAGAACCTCTGAAAATGAAAGTGAGGAAATAGTGATGCTGATAAGACTCCTATAAAAGAAAATTATGTTAAAAATCAAATCAAATTGCGTTTAAAGTATAAAAACAAAAACATAAATATTTTTAACAGTTTGCCCTCACTGATTTTCCATCACCTAATAGATAAATGTTTATCTGAAATTGTAAATGTGGATGATATGATGGTGTTTTGAATGATATAGTCCCATTTAGAAAAACACATCTTAACATGCGATATCAAGAGTTATATGTATACCCTGTGTTTCATATATAAGAAATAAACGAGCTGCCCCTTCAGATTGAGTTAATTGAATTTGTCACAAAGATTGATGGGCAGACATCAAAAGTCAGCATAAGTTTTGCTTCATTCCCTTGGAACAAATGACGCCCAAAGGCTCAACTAAAAACTCGCATACAGTATTGAAATAATAGGCTTGTTAGTTTTAGTCCAAGAGTAAACTGACCTTTTTGTTCATTAAACAATATCCGACAGAGTAATACAGGAGCCTGGTTGGCATTCAAGACCCAAATAACAAAATAAATTAGAATTAGCTATAAACATCAATACTATACTATTTTAAGGGAGCTGGAATGCAGATTTTGTCATGAAAACAGAGTTGGATTTGCCCTTTTATTGCTAATTTTGTGGTATTGTTCTGCTTTAACTATCTTGAAGATAAAACCTTCAGCTATTCCCTAAACACTATTATAACCAGCAAGAAAATGTCTCTTCAGAAATTGAGTCAAGATTATATTTTATATAAATAGTTTATTGACTTATCAACAACTGCCTACTGTACAGTCCTTATGGGTGACACGTGTATGCGACACAGTTTATGCAGAGACCATTCCTGTAAGAGTTTTCCCAGGCAGAGTATTGTCAATGTTAAAGAAAGCAAACTGTATACCCAGGATTTAAAATGTGGGCGTGGCTTTGCTCGCCATCTAAATGTGTAACCAAGCAAGCCTTGCATATCAGTCACAGGCCGTCAAAACAAGAAAGGCAATAATTAACTTGCACAGACTGATGACTTTGCAGAGCGGTGCAATGAATTTTTCATACAATGGTTGAGTCAACAGACGGAGCTCAAGTCACGGCTGGCTTTTAGGAAATCCATCAGTCTTCCGGTTGTTAGTTATCCATTTTGGTGTTACTGAAAGCAGCCAGTGTTAAGTGACAGATCTTCATTTCAGAGTTGAGTTTCTGCTGACCAAAGCCAGTGGGCTAATGAAACTGAAAACAATGAATTTCTCCTTCCTCCAGTCAGGGCCGGTGGGGGTCAGCGGGACGTTTTCTGGAAATCTGTGTGGCTATACTCCTTGGAGCATCTGTTTTGTACCAAATAGGAGAAGAAAAAAAGGAGCTGTTGTCCGAAAAAAACCCGTCCAAATTAGATTTCCGAAAAAGGTTGCTCTTGACAAAGAACATGGGGGAAAAAAATGCTACGGAGGGGGAGGAGGGGAAGGAAACAGAATATCCTCTTACAAAGTCCTAATCTAATTTCCATCCCCAAAGGGGACAGAAAATCACAGAGAACAAGAAAGAACCATCACAAGCGAAATTGGACACCAAAATATAAATCTATAAAAGGCCATTTATTACTCCATTATGTACACTTTTCACAGGACCTCCGAGGAAAAGCTCCGGAGAGAAGCGCCGCTTCTAGCTTTCATGGAACTTTATCCATAGTCAAAAAGGTTAAAAAAAAAGAAAAATCCAACGAAAGAGAAAAAAAAAAAAAAAAGAAATCGACATTTTTCGTCTTATTTCCTTTCTCTTAGTGCCTTTGCAGAAACGTTGTTGCTGTACAAGTGTTTTAATCAGACATAAAAATCCAGGTCCAAAGCAGCGCCGGCATCCATTAGTCTGGCACTGCCAAACTTCCTGTCCCGCATAGCGGAATCCATGTTGTCCGTTAGGGAGAAGATAGGCGGAGGAAGAGCGTGCTGTTCCTAAGCATGTGCATGCTCCCATCCAAAGCACTGCTAATAGATCACTTCATACACTGTGGCCTTCTTGTCACCAGAGCCAGTCACGATGTACTTGTCATCCGTTGAGATGTCACAGCTCAGGACCGAAGAGGATTCCTTGGACTGTTAAAGAGAAGAAGATAAAACTGCATTAATATACAGTGGCCCATTCAAAGTTAAGTGGGGAGGATTAAATGACTGCGGGGGCAGAAAGATTAGCCTGCAGTGACAACAAGGTTTGGCCTTCAAAAAGACTCCTTTGTAAGGTCAATTATTCAGTTTCACTTTTCACTGATAGGGTGGCCTGGTTAGGCAGCGGTCGGTGTGTCCTTCCGCAAGGAGAAGGCAGTGTGTTCTTTTGGCTCTGGCTACAGACAAAGTGTATTGATCCGCATACCTGGAATATGCTGGCGCCATAAGGAGTCCTCCAAGCATTCAACAGATTGTCCTTCCCAGTGCTTACAAACCATTTACCTGCAAAGAAAACGGAAGTGACATCAGGCCTTTTTTGAACCAATGAGATGCAGGGAAATACCTTCATAGCAAAACTTGTTACATTTCCAAGCCTGAGACAAAAACCAACCACCCCAACCCAAAAACCCCCAACTTTTAGCTCTTAAAGCAAATGCAGGTCAAGAAAAAAGTATCTGCACCCTAAAATGTTTTAAATTGCCCCCACAAACTATGACGTATTTAACTGGCATTTCTTATGATAGACCAAAAGAAAGTGGTTTAATGATATCCAAGTTTATTTTTTACAAATGAAATTTTTAAGTGACACAAATATTTGTGTTTAATCAACCTGAAACTGTTCATTAGTTTCCTTTTCTTTGGTCGCAGCTTTTCAGATGTGCAAAGCTTTCTACCCGCATTGCACATCTGAAAATATTGCCTATCCTTATTCTGCAAACTATGGAGGACCAGTAGATTCACTGAGTCACGGTTCCCCTTTTCCGTTCTGGTCCCTGAGCACAATGAAAACAAAGTTAAACCTAACCTAACTGGTTAACTCTTGCTTTGCCCGATTTGTGGTTTCCACTCAAATTCTGGATAGAAAGTGATCAGGTCATTTTGTTATCCAAATGTGGCTGTTTAACCAATGAGAGAGCTGGTTAAATCTGCGGAGCAACTGCTAGAGATTTAGCTTGGTTTTCAACCTGCTCATGAACCAAATGGTCATTCCAAGGCAAAATTGGCAAAATGCATCTTAAATTTTTTATTTTTTTTTAATACCCACTTAGAGGATGCGAAAACACATTTTAAAAATTACAGTATTTAATAATGGATTCATAATTACAACTTGGATTTAAGTTTCTTTCACATATGCTTTGATCCAAACAAATGGTGGCCATGATTTTGGACTTGTTGAGTCCATTTTTTTTCCTGTACTTTTAATCTACAAAACTAAAAACACTGAACATTCCCCTTCTAAAAAGATATAAACAAAGCGGTATGATATTTTCAGAAAAAAAAGAATAATCAATAATTCTAATCCCAGAAGTTTTTGATCACAGTTTAGCCTTAGTAAAATCAAGATGTTTCACTTTTTACTGTTTTGGGCCGACCATTTTCTAAGTCTAGAACATTTTATAGTCCCAATTAAAGCAAAAAAGAAAAATGCATTAACAAAAGATCTTTTGGGTTTTGGGTTGTACTCTTTTCAAGATTTAAAATATTTTCTCTTTAAAAATCTTGCAACAACCATTTGTGTATCTCAAAAGAACATCCAGGATGTTAATGCCTCCATTGTAGCTCTGGCTCTGTGTATACAGTTAACCCCAGGACTAGTCTCCTACTACATCCTACAGATCTAATTCTATGTCTGCCCCATATTCATATCCATCCATATTAATTACTGCTGAATAAAAGGTTCATTTCAAGCTGAAACAATTCATTCATGCAGAGGACTTATGAAAAGTTATCTTAGTAAAGTGGTTTCCAGGTTAAAGAAAATGAATTATCTCGCTTTAATTCCTCTTTACATGTGTTAGTTCACCCCCTCCCAAAAACACATTCAAGAACATTAGAGCTTAAAGTTCTATCTTTAAAAGAGTATGGAGGGTAAATAGTATTGTATTATTCCCTGTTCCTTTTAAGTAGGTTTGCTCGTACCACAGTAGGCGAACTTGAGGGAGAGGACGCAGCTTTCATGTAGGTGGAGCTGATATTTGTCAGGCTTGGAATGGTGAAGCACCTCCACGTTGCTGCTCTCCATCCCAACAGCAAGCCACTCTCCGGTCGGACAGTAGCCCAAGGAGAAGATCTGGGGATGGAACAGTGATTATTAATAGTTCAGACACTATATAAAGCAATATATTTATGGGTTACATGTGTGGTATTTAATGATTGTACCTGTGAAGTGAAGTCGTGCTGCTGCAGCTGTCGACCCTCTCTAAGATCCCAAGAGCGAACAGTGTTATCGAGGCCGCCTGTCCACAGTTTAGTGCCATCATGGGAAATGTCAATGCAGCTAGCACCATCTGTATGACCCTGGAACTGCCTGCATTTAGAGTAAGAAAGCACAAAAACATGTATTGACATCCTCTTTAAAAGTGGCTCACACAAGAGCAGCTCTGTTACAGAGCCAAAATCCGCACACTGGGAATACATATATTTTTCCCCCCACCTAACAAGGGTCTGGTTGTGCAGGTCCCAAACGGCGATGTTTCCATCACTGCAACAGGAGAAGCAGACCTTGGCGTCAGGGCTGATGGCCAAGGCGTAGCACGCCGGGGCCGATGAGGTGAGCTCGGCCTTGATGCGAGGCGTCTGAGAGGCCAGGTCCCAGATGGTCAAAGTGCTGGCCTCGCCTCCAACAATCAATGTGCGGCCATCAGGCAGGAGCTTACAGGATCGGATGTAGTTATCCCTGTTCTGTGGCACAGAGGACAAAAGCCGATCAATACAGTGCAGAGAATTAGAAACAAATCTGGAGGAAAATCCACAGAAGAAAACAACTAAAGTGGGTTCCCTTAGCTGATCACAACCACAATTAAAATGACATTTTACAGACAGAAATCTTCAGAATATTTAGCTATTTCCATCTTCTTTGCAAAAAATGTTGTTCTGCTGTTAAAAATCATCTGAATAGTATAGTTATACCAGGGAGATAAATAACAGGGGGAAGGGGACTTCTTCAAAAACAGACTCCTAACCAATCAGAGGGTCATCTAGAAGTGGATTTAAATCAAATCGAACAAATTTGGATCATTTGTTGGATCTTATGTCTGAAATTTTTGGAATTACACATGAAAGCACAAAACTCTTATTTAAGTATTCCTTTACTATCTTTTGATGAATACAAATTTCTGGTATGGAAATAATGGAGAAGATTATGCCATTGCAGCTTATCAAAAATTGTCACTAAGGAGTGTAAAGTGATTCAGTATAGGGTTCTTACCAGACAGTCCAGTTGGGAAACGGGGCTTTTGCTGCCTGGCTGGCTGATGTCCCAGATTTTGACGCAGCCCTTACCGCCGGTGTAAACATGACGTGTGGGGTTGCTAATGGTGACAGCACACACCACTTCGCCGTGGCTAAGCGTGTTGATCTGACGTGCGTGACGTGGAATACCCGGTCCAATCAGGGCATCAGGCGGGAAGGGTACAGGTTGCATCTGGCCATCTGCGCTTACGTGGAAGGAGTATGCACTACAGAAAGAAAGATGATGCAGGTTTAAAGTCATTGGATTTTGAAGTGTGACAAACGCCTACACCTTTGGAGAGACACTTACGGTTTCCCCCCAGAAATAGACGTGAGGCTGGCTGGAAGGCCTGGGGCTCTCATATGAGTGTGAGGATCAAACCCCTAAAAGATGAGAGGATATAGATGTATGAGGTTACAGATCAGTGATCAAAGGAAACTCTGCTCTAAGGCTACAGAGAGAACTGCATTAATCAAATGTTTCACTAAATTTTCAATCTGGGGTTGTTGGAAAGGTTTGATTTTGCCTGTATAAATGTCTAGTGATGTAAAAATAATTGGATTAATCGTGATTAATCGATTAGAGGAGTAATTATACCAAACCTGCAAAAAAAAAATTAATTATTTTGAATTTTGTTCTGTTAATATGATCTACCAAGAACTCCTTAAGTGGAAAATTTGTTTCACCTGGTTTGATTCAGCAAAAAAATCTCCTTTAAAAATCCTTTGCCATCTGATTATTAATTTAAAAAAATAATCGACAGATTAATCGATTAGCAATATAATCATTATTTGCAGCTCTACCAATGTCTCTTAGAAAAATAGTATAAGACAACACAAGTAAATCACTGAAAATAGATTTTCTTAAAGCTTTATTTAAACCAAAACATTCAATGTTTAATTACTGATGAAATAACTGTAAAGTTTGCATTTATCTTTAGCGTTTATATTAGTTATACAGTTAGCATGATTAACAGTACTCTGCATGTGTATTTCTAGAGAATGTAGTTCTGATGTTCTAAAATGTTTGCAATATATTCAGATCAGACATGTCTTATAACAGAAAGGTTGAATTCTTCAATTAATTAATTGGAGTCTGCTAAGCCTTCCTTTTCTCTATCAAAAGTATTGTGTTCTCTTGCCAACTATACTGCAGACATGCTTAATAGCATAAAAAAAAATACATTTTTAAAATTCAGTGTTGTGGTTTTTATATCCATGACATAAAAGTATGAAGACCAGTCAGCCTGAAGGTATCACATGCATATCGAGCTTGCAAATTGAAAAACTCAGTCTGAAAATTAAGACTTTTTAAAAACAAAAAACTAATAACACATTAAAAAAGAAAAATCCAACAGAAATGGGTCACATGTGGATAGAAAAATGGGATTTGCAGCATGAAAAAAAAAAGAAAGTGGAATTGTTACCATAGTCGAACGTCCATATGCTGCAGCTGCTGCAGCGCTCATCTGAGGGGAGATGTGCAGGCCAGCGTAGACACCTGGACTCGTTAGGCCTCCATTCATTTCATGGTGGCCCATCATGGCAAAGGGGGGATAGGAGCCAGCAATGGACAAAGGGGTCCGCAAAGCTGGTGCTGCTACAGAAAAAAATAAAGAAATAAAAAACAGGAGATGAATATCAGTATGCAAGATAATCACATACTTTAAGATAATAATAATAATAATGATAATGATAACAGAAATAATAATAATAAAAAAATGCAGCTTCCAGCAAACTCAGAGAATGGTACCAACCAAGAGCCTCCATGCCTGGTGGTTTGCCCAGTATGGGTCTGAGCCCAGGAGTGGAGCTTGTGCCAGGGGTGGGGGCATCGTTACGCGGGGTGGGGGTATTGGATTTAAGACCAGGCGTGGAGGATTTGTCATTCTGTCAAGGGAACAAGAGAGCAAGCACGTTCACAATCCCAAAAACCAGGCTCTGTGCAGACTGACAATTTGAGAGCAAACTGAACCTAATCCAATCTAATTCTGACAACCCACAGCCATAAACTGCTATTTATTCTAAAACCTATTACGGTCACAATGGAGATGGGGCTTTTTCTATCCCCTTTAGCTTTAATCTTTCAGCGAGGCAGAGGCAAAAATCCCAGAATAGTTAAATACATTGAGCTATTAACAGAGGAGACCTGACTGATCCTGATGCGGGACAATATTATCCCTGACATTTTAGTCATGCACTTAAAGCACAGACAGCCATTCCTAATCCACAGCAGAAAATGTTCCACATCTATTTGCACATATCCCTACAATTTCTTTTTTAAAAACCCTTTCTGTCCTAGTTTGTCCTTAAATATCTCGTTGTCTTACATGACTGAGCTCCTTTGCCTTCGAGGACGGGGTGCTTCCAGAGGAGGCCACAGATGCTGGGCTGTTTGGTGTATCTTTCTTGGGTGGGCGTGGTTTATCAATGCCGTTTTCAGGTGGGGAATGGGCTGGGCTAGCCCGTGGAGTAGCTGGGTCCTAAGAACAAATAAATCAAACAGATTTTAATGGTTATACAACAGCTTCAGGAAATATAGCTATAATCATAAAAAGTATAGACCCCTCACCTCATTAGACACATCTACCACCAAATCATCACTCTTTTCTCCGTCGCTGTCCTGCAGGTGATTAGAAAAAAAACAACAACACCTTAGAAGATATACTTTGGATAAACGTTTGTGATCCCATGGAGAGCTTTGAAAACATTGTTTGCAAATTGTTAAGAGCTGGATAAGCAAGGAGACATTTTCACATTTGAGTTTTTCATATTTTTGTCAGGTTAAAAACCTTTAGTAATATATTATTTGTAATTCATGTAATAAACAAACATAAAGAGCACATAAACATTGTTTTTTTTAAACAAAAAGTGAAAAGTGTTGTCTGCAACTCTAATCACCCCCTTTTACTCAAATACCCCTAAAATAAATTTACTGCAACCACCTGCCATCAAAGGTTAGCATTGAGTAAACAGAGTTAGCGTCTGTTTTCTGGAGGCCTAAGGTTTGTTTTAGTACATTAATGACCTTGTTACATAAGGCAACCAACAGGCAGGTCTGGAATGAAGGTCTGGATATGTTTAAGGTTGGGTTGAAATACAAAACACTATACTAAGCTTTCAATGTCTGACAAATAACTAAGGGGAATGGGAGAGTTTTACACAACAGCAAACCCAACAAGATTGGCTGCATAGCTGAAGTGAAAGGCCAGAACTTAAAAAAGAGAAACAGCCAAAAGGCTGATGGGAACTGTTAAGAACCTGCAAACATCCACTACTCATCTGCAATCATTTGTCAACAGCGACACTAAAAATCTGCCCTCAAGAAATGGGAAGAAGAAATCCACTAATGAGGTTTGTTGCAGTTTTCTTTCATCCTCTGATGTTTACTGTTGGATAAAGATATATACCTCATTTGAATGAACAGGTTATCCAGCTCCCTCAGTGACATGCTGAGGTGGTTATACACTGATTGTATTCAGTGTTTAAGGGAGGAACACCTGGATCGTAATCTTGAATATTTTTAGATGTATTCTTGCTAAACAAACCATCTTGAAAGTAAAATAGTTTAGTTACTTCGTCCTAAAGCCACTTTTATAAGAGGAATGGGCAAAAGTTTCAGTCATGGGATGTTCCACTAAACTAGACATGGAGCACAAAATAAATGTAAGTTTCTAGAGTGTTTACTCACATACACATTTTTCCAAATAATAACTTTGTATTAGTCTGTAATCTAAATCCCTGTAAAATCCATGAAACTTGAGATTGTAACGTAAAATTCGCAGCTTTTATTTTCATTACATTGTCACAAGTACAGAGCAACCAAATGAACTCTGCATTTAACCGATCCCCCTTTTGGAGCAGTGGGCTGCCATTGTGCGGCGCCCAGGGAGCAGTGGGGGGTTACGGGTATTCGTTCAGGGACAGAGTGGCAGTCTGTGGGAGTGGGGCTTGAAATCAGAACCTCTGGATTCCATCGCTATGACTTAAACACTAGGCCACCACTCCCCTTAAAGTTAAAGAGGCATGAAAGCTTCTGCAAGGAGGCTTTAATGGCCAAAACTGTATGTAAAAAATACCAAAAGAAACCCAATCCTGCTCCCTATCCTGTTGTCTTTATAAACCTACATATCTGCTCATGCTGTCCTTTTCCTCCAGTTTGCGTTTTTTGGAATCCAAGCTGTAGTCAGAAGAGCTGCGGTGCTTCTCGCTTGCCGTCCGCAAGCTTTCTGATGGAGATATCGAGTTATTCTGCAGAAAGAAAAAACAACCAATCTATTTTACTTCCAATGTATCTTTCTTTTTAAAAATCCAATAACATTCATTTATTTAATCCAAAACAACATAAAAAAAACAAAAAACAGTGAGCAAGTTGAGCAAAGCTGAACACTCCTCATTCAAACAATGATGATCACAGCAGCCGTCCTAAAATTCAGCTGAACATCAGCGTCAAACAGTACCCTGACACCCACCGAGCTCGCAAACAACAGAACGGGCTGTTGTCTGAATTAAACGGAGTACGGCTTGTTTCCCCGAGCCTGCCCACCCCTCCTCCTTATAACTGGACAACAAACAGCCTCACAGGGGCTTGAGCAGTGTGTCGTGACTGAACGGAGGGCCTTTTCTCCAGAGTAATTTGGACTGAGCATGAGAGAGAGAGAGAAACAGAGAGAAACTATATGCATTGGGCCCTGGGCGTTGGGCACTGTGTCAGCTCCTGCTTTGAGCGCCGATAAAGAAGAAGAATCTATATCCTGCCAATGGGCATGGCAGCGTGGGACTGACTGGTGCTTTTCTGTGGAACCTGCCTACACAGGCTGAAAAGGCTCACTCCAAACGCCAACAGAAGGGAAGACACTCGGCAGGAGTCCAGAAGCTTCCGCAGGGAGCTTGCCATTGGCCTGCAAACTGCCAAGTTGTCCTAAATTTCTATGTCCCTCCATCAGAGAGCCAAAGCAACAACACGGACAACAGAAAAGAGAGGGGAACAATGGCTGATGGACTAGAGGTCTGGGCAAAGGGCCACTGTGTGCATAATGGCTGACCTTTAAAGAGATGCTTAGCGTGACTCATTAACCAAAGTCACCACTCTACTATCAGATGACCTGGGACGAGAACACAGAAAACAAAACAGGGCCAGAAGCTCCATTTCTTCAGAGATGACTGAGCCCATTCAGCCGGCACGGCCTACGGAAACAGAACCTCACAGGCCCATCGCAAGTCATCTGACATTGAAGCGACTTTGAATAAAACACTTCAGCAGGTCCAGTCAAACAGAGAACATGAATATTCATCAGAGAGGGAAAAGGAAGAACAAGTGAGCTGCTAAACATGAGAGACAGCAGAGGGGATCAAACAAATCCTTTAAGAGAAGGAGGACAAAGTCCTTCTTCAATTCTGATGAAATTACAAGCCTTCTAATCTCTCCAGCATGATAGCACACAGCTTTTATACTTCAATTCCCATTGCTCCGAATACTGAAAGCAGATTATAACAGCTATCAAATCAGCAATATGAAACAGTGAAACCCAACAATCCCTGCAGTCCTGGACACTCACCGTGCTTTCTGTTCAACGGACGTCACAGGGGCAGCGGAGATGATGAGGAAACCCAAGTGAGAAAGGAGAAAAACATGTCAGTTAGTAAAAAAAGTAACAAAAGCCTCTGGCTGAGCATGTGTGAATCAGCTGTAGGGCACAAGGCTCCGTTCATTAATGCATTTTGGAGCTGCTGAATAGCTGATGTAGTCGTCATGGGCTGAGAATGCAGCAGCTCGTTACACAGATAGAATGTGAACAGGCAGGATGTTTTCCTCAAACCACTCTAGAGAGGGAGAAATATTGCAAGCTTTGATGTCAGTTTGGCCACATTTAATATCTTTCTAAAAAGGTTCCATTAACACACACTTCATTTCAACTAGGCATGGTATATTACATCTTAAACAAAGGTGTGTTTTAAATTAGGTCGAAACAATTAATCAGATTAATTGTGATTAATATATTATTGAAATAATCATCAACTAATTAAGTAATCGTTATCTGGAGTGTGGAGACTCTAAAACGTGTCTTTAGCTGAAAGAGTGACCCAATTAAAGCAGTAATTGTTAACAAAAATATATATAAACATTTTGCCTTTAAGATAAAAAAAAAAATCAACTGGTTTAATTTTGCAAAAACTCTTCTTTAAGGAACCTTTTGCAATCTGGTTATTAATCGATTAATTAAAAAAGTAATCTTCAGAATAGTCAATTTGCAAAATAATCGTTAGTTGCAACCCTATTTTAAATACTCCAAAATTTTATTTCTTCATTTCTTTTGTCTTTAATCGAAATTCAACATAACCAGAAAAGTCGTCTAAGAACCGCCTCTCATTTGGGGTAAAGAGGATGTTTACTGTTTGGAATGCAGCATGGATACAAACAGCACAGGCCCTCACTATCATTTTGCTGTGCACTGCTGCTCAGCTGGCTTAGGAAATAACTCTTTTTGATCCGCTACAATGTAAAAGACTGTCATAGTGCAACCTTTTAACAAAATGAGAGAATCAAATCCTGAATTTGAAAGACTGCTGGATTTCTGAAAGCTGGCTCAATGATGAGCTGAATGTTAAAGGTAATAGCATATATTATTTACAAGTAGAGGGAATAATAGATGTTTGTAAAATGCCTTGAAAATTCAACCACAGTTATACAGTGAGAAATTATGCTGACCCATGTCTAATTTGTACTAAATAAACTTTTTTACAATAACTGAGGTCAATAACACACCTCTGTGCTCCAGATCTTGATGGTTCTTCTCATCCTTCACTGGGAGGTGAGCCTGGCTGCCCAGCGCCCCGAGCGCCAGCAGGCCGGATCCAGAGCCGGTGACAGGGGGGATTCCAGGCGGCTGCAGACCCGAGGGGTGGGGCGGCAGCTGAACTGGAGGCCCGTGAGCAGCGTGGGAAAGGTGCTGCGCCTGGAGCTGTTGCTGCTGCAAGTCGATATAGATGCAGACAGACAAACAACAAATGGGTTGGAGGGAAGGAGTAGCCACTATCAGCTCACGACTTTAGCAGAAGTAAACAGCTGCTGTCAGATCTAGCTCCATTTTAAGCCAAAATGATATAGCCACATATAAAGCTAGTTAGTTTAGCAACTTAGAATTACTGTTTTTCCATGTTTCTTCAGTGTAAAACAAGGAGAAACAGCAGAGATAAATTTAATGAGCCTTGGTTAGAACGCAGGGAAAGAAATCATGCTCTAACTGTTCCATTTCATACTGCAGCATCGCATAACCCCTGTAGCATCAGTGAGTTTAACAATCGTCTTTAAAGAACAGTAAGCTGTTAGCCTCAAGGCAAAATAATTAACAACTTTTATAAGGAAACAATCTTAAAAAAAAAAAAAACACACAAAACAGTCTGCTTACTGCTCTTGCATTCAAACTCTGGTATCGACAGCTCATAAATCATTCGAACACCCAAACTTTTAGACATAAGGGAACTGAATGCCAGAAGCCCCCCCCGCTTCCCAACAGAAGGCAGCTTCAGGAGCCAGGAGTAGGGGTCCCATTGCTGGCACTCACTCAAGCCTCCAATATTCGCCATCAATATTTGAAAGGCACAGGGAAATGAAAGAGAGTTAAAAGGCACTCAGCCTGGGAAGGAAGCAGTTTAAAGCAAGGTTAAATAATACTTAGCCGAGACACCAATAAAACATCAGCAGTTTATAACCCATCTACAAGCCGACTAAATAATTCAGCTGTTGTTACAGCGTGCTATCTTTCTCTTTTACAAGACGGACTTTAATCAGCGGCCTTTAACGGCCACTTTAGGAATATCAGGAAGTTAGTAATTACCACAGAGTAGAGGAAGATGGTTTAACTCGACATTGGCTTCGTTTCACAGGGTGGCAGGAACCCAAAGGTGTAAATGGTTCTAAAATATTATTCCTTTCTTCTAAGAGTGATATGAGCTACGCTTGAAAACAGAAAACTAGAACAAGAAAAAAGAAAAAGAGAGAGAAGGAGAGATGGAGGGAGACTTCTAATGTTGTGTCCATGAGGGAAATTAAGGAGCCAGTTCATTGGCAGGGGGGAAGACATCCTTGCTCATTGTGTTTAATGAGGCACTGATGGGTAATAAGCATGGCTGATCAGCAAGAGCCCTCATTAAAGGCCTATAAATGAAGACAATAATAAATAAAGGAAGAAGTCTGGCCTGTATCTTCTAATTTAATAACGCAGGATAAAAACTTATACACCATGCCCCTTATTTAACCTCCACACTGAGTGTCACTGTAGGAAATAAAACCCATCTGAGAGTAGACTCTATAGCTAACAGGGTAACCGCATTAAAAGCAGTTGAAGTTTTTTTAAAGCTGTTTTTTTTTTAATAAACTCATCAGTAATAGAATGTTGCATGCTCACCTAGCAAGCTGAAAGAATACAGCAAAATTTCCCACTTGCATACAACTAAAACAAACCGGGCTGAAAATATTTTTTATCCTAGGGTGACACAATAGAACCCCCCCATCCTGTTAGGATTACTCCGTTAAAAATAAAGCCTGTTATTCGGATGAACGTTTTTAAGTAAATTATTCTGCTAACATCGTCTCACTTTTTAATCTATAAAGAACAATATTGCAAATAGTATTCTTTGAAATAAACTCCAATATTACAACTAGTGAGTCAGTATATGTTTTCCTAGCTTCATGCATAACCTTAAATAAACGAATGCTATATTTACTGTAACTATAATAATTATGTTGTATTATTATAGTTGCAGCAAAAATAATCATGAATTTTGTTCTGTTAAATATTATTATTTTTTACACATTTACATTAAAATTGAAAACAGACAAAAATATCAAATATTAGTGCAGGGGTTGACGTTAAGGATTTTTACCACTTGCCCTTTGGGCAAGTGACTTTCCCATTTCATTTGCCCAGAAACAATTTTTTACTTGCCCAGTATAATGTTTGATAAATATAGTTCCTAATATTCATTTTTGTATATATATCAATGAAACATGTTTGTTTTTTAAATGTTTTTTGTAATTTAGTATTTTTTTTCACTTTACAGGTCCCTGGTGTGTATATGCATGCGTCAGATAATGAACTCAAGCCTACATTACCGTGTTAACATGCTTTTCAATCCTTCCTGCACATTCTTTTCAAACTAAACTTTGCTTTAAACTGTTGTGTGCTTGGAAAAATATAAATTGTAATGTTAAAAATCTAAAAAAAAACTTGACAGGTTAAAACCTTACACTACTACTACTCACCAATTTAACATGTTTAGCTCTGTAACATTTAAATGCACCACTCCAATGTCTAAGAGAAAAAAATTTAATGAACATTTTTAATGTATGACCTGTATCACTGTACAGAAGACTGCCATATGATAGAAATATTTACACTGTGCTCATACAATTATTATTATTATTATTGTCGTAATCCCTGACTGATCATTTCTAATCTAGCGTGTATTATAGTATAGATTAAATTCATCATCCAGCTGCAGCTCTGCAGAATTCTCTCCCCAGGAGCTGAATCACGCCATCTAGCGGAAAATCACGCGGCTTTTTCAAATCACGCGAGAATGTGTACAAAGCAACAAAAATGGCGCAGGCAACACTTGTGGGTCGGTTTCAGCAAATGTCGGTGATTTTAAAGTAGTTTTGAATGGTAAATCATTTTATTTGCGATCATTGCACTTGCCCGGCGGGCAAATGCAATAAAATTTGTACTCTCCCGACAATAAAAACTACTTGCCCCGGGCGATCGGGCAATGGTTAACATCGAGCCCTGTAGTGCCGATTTGCAATTGCAAAGCCTGCAATGTAGGCTATTATATATCTAGTGGCATGCCTATTGGATCTGCACATCAGGACTGAAGCTAGATGGCTAAAAGAAGAGTTGGAGCAATTTGGGTTGGACAAAATCACTGCTGCCCTTTTCACCAGTATTTTAATATACATTTGAGTTATTTGTTGTGATGCTACGGCATGGTTATCATGGGTGAGATTTTTTTAAATACCCTATGTCCAATTAAAAATGCACATTAGCTGGAGACAAGCCGTGCCATGCAACACACACAAGGTCTTCAAGCCACAAAAACCAAATCCAGTCAAAGAAATGTGAATGACACAAATATGTTTACGCCACTGACCATAAGAGAAGGGTAGGCAGCCTGCTGCTGCTGAAAAGGAGGACAGAGTTGGTCAAAGCTACAACTGCTTCAGACACTCACCCATACAGAAATACTGCCTATAATGGACAGAGAATATATGCTCATAAAGGTCTGACACAACCCAGGTTGGCATATCTGAGGCTTTTATGTTTGAACCAAACTGGATTCTCTAGCAGTCGGCTTTACCTCAAGCAGCTGTCCTAGTTGCATTCTATTAATGGCCAGCAGCTCCATCAATAAGACATGTAGCTGGTTCCTGTACACCGCCTGTCTGTCTGCTGTGCTCTTTCACCCACACCTTGCTTTACAATATACATGAGGATTTTGGCATGCCTACAGAGCTTCTCCTTAATAAATAACACATGGAAAGGTGTTCTTAATCACACACATCACCACGTCCCCTGACATTAGCCAATGCTGGAAGTTTTGGGCTGAGGCCTCATCATTTTTGACAGCCCTGGTGCCACACAGAACTCTGCTCTAAAGCCGCATTACATCATTTATTTAGTCTATTTTTTAAGAAGTCAACTGTGAACTATAGATCACAGAAGAAAAAATAAATTAAATCACCCAAGCTCCAAATTCAAATCAGCAAAGTATTACGGTATTATGTTTCAAAGGTGAAAACACATATTAGATAACTTATCAAATATTACTAATGTTATCACAAGTGCTGTTTGCATTGTAAAAAAGCATCTACGTCAGTCCAAACATATGAAAATAAAAGTGGCTCTACATCACCTTTAGAAATTCCCCATTTTAAGAAGGCAATAAAACAAAAACATCACAAGGAGGGAAATCATTGAATTTCAATATTTGCACCAGGTCAGCATCCATTGACTTGCATGCAGAAGATTCAAAATAAGATCACAGAAATCCCAGGCTGTGTTTCTCTAGTAAAACCAGTTGCCTCTGTGTGAGCAGGACAGGAGGGATATAGCTGATCAATGAGAAGCAGATGGTGCCTGGAAGCAGTGATGAACACCAAACATTAACTGCACCGTGATGAGCTCTGCAAAACGCCGAGCAGTGGGGATGGCTGATGGCTGCTTTCTGTGCCATCTCAGGGAGGCTGTTCTGTTCAGCCTCAGCCCTTTTAACTCCCACAGCTATCCAGGTCAACAGTGAGGGATGAGGCTCCTCGTTAAAACCTTAGCCAATTAAAGCTATGCAGGCTGCGGAGGGTGTCTAGAGAGCTCTCAGGCTCACATTTGTAAACGGACAACAAGGCAGGAAACAATGCTGCCGATACCAAAAGAGCAGAAACAGACCATTTCAAAAGGATAATGCTAAATATATAGAACATATCAGTCATATTATTTTGTCATTATTTATTGTTGACCAGAATTTCCCAAAAACAGGATTTACCACTTTAGTTTAATAATTAATGTCAAATCAGTTTTATTGGGATTTTATATAATAGACCAACGCAAAGCAATACATTATTGTGAGGTAAAGGAAATTAGAGTAAGATATTAGTTTTCAGCATTTTGACATGAAAAAAGAATAACAGATAATTTGTAGCAATTACAGCCATATGACTTTTCTCTACCAATTAATATTTTGCAATTTGCAAAATAAGCTTAATATCAACTCAACTGGATGGGAAAAAAGACATATGTAAATATCCATTTGTAAGTCCAACCACAGCTTTTGAATTTTATGGTCTGGAATTTGGCTGGGTCAGTTTAACACAGGACTATGCTTTGATCTAAACCTTTCATGGTTTCAGCTTTAGCTTCCTATAGCAGCAATGACATGTGCCAGTCTGCAAGCAGGATTTTTAAGGGCTTTTTCCCCCATCCATCCTTTATTCTTCATTTTGCCTCTATTCTATCAAAGCCAAATTCATAAAGTGAATAATAGCTGTCCCATCAATAGATTTTTGTACCCAAGTTTGACATAGATTCTCTAATTAATGCTCCCCGTACCCAGAATAAAAGTTTCTGTGGATGGTTATATCTTGTTTGTTTAAAAAAAAAAAACGCCATGTTGTTAGCATTTCTGAATAATCAACTATTAAGAAGAATCTAAATAGAAAGGGAAAAATATAAATTCAGACGCCTCCCTCCTTAACTTCTCCCTTTAATTTTGAATTTTGCACTACTTTGTGCTGGTCTGTCACATAAAATTTCAATTAAACACAAAGATTTATACAACATGGTGCAATTATTACTTTCAGATGCATTGAATGTTTGCCCATACCCAAGTTAAAATAAAGGAAAAAAAGGGAGTATACACACGGTGAGAGGCAGATTGGGAAGTCCACGTACCCCGATGATGGCATTCAGCTCGGTCATAGTCACCTGCTTAGCCCTCTCCACTGCCTGAGCAACCTGTTGTTGGTGCTGAACAGAAACATGGACATATAATTATTAAGGCATCCAAATGTAGTTGCATTTTCACAGCACAACAAGAAAGCAGGCTTAGAACAAATGTGAACGTCAAAAAAGCAGCACGATTACTGAAAAACTACTTAGAAAATGTCTCTCTGCAACACAGCAACAATAAGCCACTTTGTTTTTAAATAAGCAGTGACGCCGTTTGAGGGCTGCATTCAAAACCTACCTCTTGTGACAGGAAAGGCATAATTTGAGCTAGAATTGCATTCAGTCGTTTGGCAATCTCCGTCTGGAAAAAAACAGAGGGAAAACAAAACGGAAAAAATAAATAAGTTGGAGGTGTATGAAGAACGCAGTGACTGCACATAACCCCTCCTTTAATGTTTACACCGATTAAGCCAATTACTCCGGCAATCAGAACTGCTTGACTCAACATCCTCTAAACAGCATGATATTGACATTTGAAATATTTAAAACATTAGGAGAGCCCAGGGGGATGGAGCACAGCTGTGCTGAGAGTGCACTCCACGTTAAACGGATATGAGCAGGCGGAGTGCGTTTGCGTCGAGAGAATCTTCTCCCGCGCAGCCCTGCCTCTTTTTTTTTTCTCCCACCCAAACTGCACTGTCCTGCACTTAACCTCAGTTAAACCACACAACCACACCCCTTTTATGAAGCCGAGGCCTTCAACCTGCACTGTTTACTTACATGTGACAGTGTGGAAGATCGACATTATGAATCAGAGCTCACTATGATAACAAACCATAACAACTTGTGGGTTACTGTCCTCCAATCTGTGATCGATAAGAATTAAAGCAGTCTGTGCCAGTAGAGGCTCACTAAAACTGGGCCTTTCTAAGAATCAAGCTGGAGCGATTTCTCCGAGCCATCAACCTACCCCTCCAACCCCACCCCCTCCCCATCCCACACCCCTCCTCCCCTCCCATCTATCCATGGAACCCTGCCTCCATTCTTTTGCTTGTCGACCAACTGCCATGGCAACAGCTACAGCCCTATCTGGCTGGGGATCATTATGCAAATGGCACCTCCGCTTGACCGTAACAGGCCTTAAAATCATATTACGTGCTTGGAGGCAGGTCATTAAATTGAATTTTCAGCCTGTCGATCACATGAACGGACCAAATGAATGGTGGATAAAAAGAGCAGTAGGAGAGGGGAGTATGATCCACCCCCACTCTCCTGTAAAAACAGCACCCAGCTTGCTCTTCCCTTCACACTCACTCCCCCCCCCTCTCTGTCTCTCTCTCCTTCTAGGCTTGGGAGATGAGACATTCAGGTCTGAGCTCTGCACTGGGAGCAGAGAATAACTGGGCTGAAGCTACATCATCTTTGGAATTTATGAGCCGCAGTTCAACCCAGGGCCGCTGCAGAACACAAACACATCACAGAGATTTTCTCTGATTTCTCATTTGGAGCAGCAGCAGCAGCAGACGCAAGTTAGTCTGCAGACCGCCGGCTTATTTATTACACATGGCAGAAATGCCAGGCAGTGTTTGGCAGCCTGACATATTACCCCAGGGCAAAGCCAGTGTGGGATGGGAAAGCAGTGAGTGACGGGAGAGGATCTGCTGACCCTAGTTGCAACATGGACAGCTATTAAAGCGAGGCAAGCCAGTGGTCAAGAAAACAATCTAATGTCAGATAAAACAAAATGACGCCTGACAGTAGAAGCAATTTATAATAACTGCATACAACAGGCGTGGAGCTCCATCAATTAGAGCCACTTAAATTTTTTAAGTGGTGAACCACATTTAAAAAACAGAAAGAAAACTTTAGAATTTTTCCTTCCACTTAACTTTCCATAACTTTTCTTCAACACTGTTCTTTTGCAATTACCTCTTTTGTGGCTTATTGTCCTTGAAGTGGATATCATAAACTATCTGATGACTACTTGTAAAGTCAGCAGTCCGTCCTATGATTGTGCAGGCCATTAGATAACATTAATGTATTAAAAACCCTCCGCCTATTGGTCTTACACTATCTGGGGATTTTCATCAGCTACAATCATGACAAAAGGAATTAAACAGCAGAGATATTTATTTCTAGATCTACTTGTACAGCAGAAAGTGTGTTGAACCAAAAGACAATTCATCCTATAACTTGTCCATTGCCTTTAGACAAGAAGAGGAATTAGCTGTGGTCTTATAAGATAAAGATTTTATGGCCGTTTTATCTATGCACTTTTGTAAGAGTTCTAGAAAGAGTCGATGGAGGCCATTAGAAATGGCTGAAAAGCTACCGGGGCTGTGTAATCCATGTTTGCAGAGATAAGCCTTGTAAATAGCGCTCGAACATTTGACGGGATTTGTAAAAAGTCCTGGAGCACTCGGGGCCCATTCCTCTGTAGCTTAGTATCATGGTGACAGCTGGCTGAGCGAGGTCAGGAGGTGGCCGATCCGCTGTGCCCTAAACAACTGCCAGCCTCTGCGCTCCCACAACACAACATGCAAATACATGGCAGAAGCATCAGCTCAGCTCCCCACCGCTGTCAAAGAGAAACAGTGCAGCGCTGAAGGGACTGCTGCTGCTGCTTTTCTTTTTCCTGGTCTGCTGGCAGATAAAAAGGGGGCTGTTGTCACTTTAAGTAGATGACAGCTTGGCCCTTGAGAGGCCAGCTTTGCACGGCTGCTACACAATTACAGGTACTCGGACCTGTGTAGCACCACTTTAAGAGCACTCTCAGCCTGCCGTGTCAATTGTGTGCAGAGAGGTATTCGCCTGTTGTTATCAGCAGTGGGAAAATAGAGCTAAAAACACTGATGGGTTTTGCATTTAAAGGAGAAGCAGGTGATTCATCTAAAAACACTGCTTGACTGGTCATATTTAGAGGGTCAGTCATTTGGATTATCCAGCAGCATGGCCTAAGGGCCTGACTTTTCTATTAAGGAAAAACTAGGACTAGTAAGGTCAGCTCTTCTAATCTGATTGATGAGTTCTCCACCTAACTGAGATGCAAAGCATAGCTCAAAACATTTATTAGTAGTGTTACATATTCATCCAAGTAAAATGCAAAATAACCTGTACATATTAATATCAGCCATAGATAATATAGATTGATGCACTCGTTTGATAAATTTTATCAGAGCGCAGTAAGGTCGGAAAAGCTTATTAGCAAATAACATGTCACCAGCAGTACATGCATTCCGATTACAGCAAAAACTGATCTAAAATTAAGGTGAAATTTCTTGAGATAAGTGTTTCGCCCCTAATTTCAGCTGGAAAATAAGATGATCGAGTATTTTTCAACTTAATCAGTGAAACAGGTGAGTAGGCTAACGGCTAGTCTCAGAGAGAATAGCGGAAAAGCAGAATTATAAACCATCTGGTCTCAAAAACTCTTCTGGTTGTTTATGCAAATGCTAATTTATAAGCCATTATCAGGCTCATCATTGACAGTTATACACAAAGAAGCTCATGATCAGTTACAAAGGTTGGAGGCAGTGCGCCACCAATGAGCTTCCTGATTGAAACACTTTATAGAAACATGATTTTGTTTTCTTTTTAGATACAGTTAAATTTTCAGGATCAATACATAGTATATGGCACATGTCAATGCTGCTTGCAGGCAGCTATTCTCAAAAACTGACATATGCAACTTTAGTGCGTTTGTCATTTAATGAGTCATGTGACCCATACTGCTACTTTACAGCATCTAAGCCTCCCTTAAACCCGAAAGCGAACTAAACTAAAAGTTGTTGTTAGACAACAAACACATCTGACAATGACCCGATGAGACATCTGGGATTTAATCTGGAGGGATAAATTTGGCCTCGTCTCACAAGTAACTCCATGGCTGCTTAATCTGCTCTTCTAAACTGTCTGTTATCAGATTGCAAAACATGGGAGAGACACCGATCATTTTTACAACAGTGTGTTGTCAGTTTAGATGGTAAACATTGAAGGTACAGGTTTAGCACCCCTAGTGGTTAAAGTTAAACATTGTTGCTTTAAGAATGTCTTTTCCACTCAGTGTGACCATGAGGTATAAATAAGGCCATGCAAACAAAACAAAAACAAGAATATAGCACGGAATAATAAAAATTATTCCAGGGGACTAAGATGCAACGTCTTTCAAAAGGGACCCAAAGTATTTAGACTGATTGAGGGAAAGAGGCTGAATTCCAAATACAGCTCTAAAGTGTCCAACTATCCTCATCCCTTTTACCTTGGATATGGTGTGAGACGTTGATCCAGACATTTTCCACACTGAATTAACAGCCATACTTTTCTGGTCAGTCTGAAAAGAAATGCTTTACATGTTCCTTTTCCTGTATTTTTTTTTTTCCTGACAGAGAAGGCAATTCGTGGCACACAGCCTCCTTCCCACATTTGTGTAAAAAGTCATTGGTTAATGTGTAAAAAATCATCCAATGACAATAGTTTAAAGGTACAAAAATAACAGTTATAAAGCTGACTGACTAGTCTAAAAGATCAAATTCTAGGAAAAGATAAAATCCATTTTCAATCATTTCAATAATCAGCTTTATGTTAACAGTTGTAGTAGAAACGTATGTTTGTCATTTGGTGCAAATGCTAAATGAGAACTTTCCATTTATATGAGTGAACCTGACAGCTGAAAACTTGCACCTGTAGAATATTACACCAACGTTCAGTCCTTTGTGACAGACTTGAGATGTTGAAGTACTGATTTCTTTCAAAAGGCACAGTTCCTCAAACCGCTTTTCAATTTTCTATGAACAACACAGACAGAATGTTGGCGGGCCCCGCTTCCTTTCCTATTGGTGCCAGAAGATATGTGGCCTTTTAAGCAAACACAATGAGGCATGAGTCTGTGTTACAGCTACAGGTAAAAGCCTAATCCGACTGAAGCAAAGGTTTGAGCCCCATACTCCCCCATGCAGCTCCAGGAAACAAGCACCATATGACGGCAATTATGGTGTTGATGTCATGCAGCAGAAATTAGCCCATTTGCATCGACTTACTGCTGCAGCTGACAGAGAGGGATCAGATAACCGCCACATCAGTCCATCTAAGCTGTGTCATTGTGCCATTTCTAAAACCTGAAATATGTCCCTGCACAGTAATGAAAAAGGCATAGTAAGAAGAATGAGCTTCCATACAATGGAATAAATCTCCTAGAATGGAAATAATATGCCGGCGTGCATCCAATAACTCTATCCCAACCCCTGTCTGTTACCCACTGCTGATATTCGCCTCCTTCTTCCCCCATGCCTGGGTGTGTAAGGCTAAGGAAGCTGCAAGGACAAGGCCTCGCACTGTTTGCTCACCAACATGCGGTTCAGAAGGTTAGGGGCCCCGCTGATGATTTATTCAAGCGCTTCCATCAGCTCTGTTGAGGTTCCTGATAAAAGTCAGACACTAAAATGGATCAGTCGATTAACCTGTTTACACAAAGCTAGGCTCCTGCTCCTCCCCACCCAGCTCTATTCTCCTGCTCCCTTCCAGAACTCCCCCCTCCATCTCCCCTCCAGTTGGTGATAAGTGCCTGACAAAAGCTATCAAAGGGGCTTGAGGCCTGACAGACATGTAGCAATGCGACAAACAACCCCAGACACTGATGGATCATCCCACCACGCCAATCCGCTGGGCAGCCAACGCTGTTATTAACCAACTGGAAGAGACCAACTTAATGGTTTAAATGCTGCATGTAGTGGAATCTGAGGATTACCTATTCATTCAATCTTTATATTACTTCAGACCTTATTGTGATTGATCTGTGAGTCAACATCAGATAGGATCCTTGGATAAAGATAAGGGCGCAATAAATGGCTAAATGACTTTTGCTCCGCTCTTGTAATTACTGCTCAGCACTTCTGTCTTTGTAATCATCACGTCTTGTCAAAGTCTACCTTTAATCTTATCAAAAAGCTGACTCGGATTACATGACACGACTGGTAAATTTCCAATAAAATGGCCGAGACTGATTGTATAAATGGTGGCACATGCTTTCATTCATTCAGCACATAAGCCTATGCACTAATGTTAGATTTACACAGTGACCAAGGTTTTTAATGCATCAAGCAGCCCTGATAAAAATAAAAAAATACAAATACATACAATGCACAGAGAAATCAATTGCTTCAGTAGAATTGAATAGTTTTCATTTTGGTGAACTATAGTGACCAGCTATGTGTCAGACTTGGAAAAGAAGGGGAAAATAGAAAGATTTGGTAATATCAGCAGGTAAATAATAAAATTTTTAAAGCAAGGGCTCTCAAGACTGAGTTTAGGACATAACTTAGTTTTACAAATCAACATGTGAGGCTTTTAAGAAAGCAAGCTGCAGATATCAGGCTAAATAATAAAACAAAGTGGCGAAAGAGCATTTAAATCAACAGCAGATTCATGTAAATAGATAAGAAAGATACAGTCATTGAATGATGTTGTTTGTTCTGTTATTAAACTCAAGATTAATTTACTAACCAGTTAGGCTGTGTTACAGGTCTCACATTGTTCTTTTGAAGTTGAAAAATTAGTGAGCTACTGCTGTAGGTACACACACTAGCCACACTAATCAGGCTAAATGCTAATAAATCATGTAAATTTCACCATTGTTGTATAGCAAAATATCTCTCATATACACTAAATGATGATACATATGCATCTATAATTATTGTATCTTGCAGAAAAGGGCTAGAGTTTGTTTTTTTACATCAACGCTGCCTTGATATCATAGTTCTAAAATTGGCCTAAGCCTTTAGGGAGTACAGGAGATTGGATATTGGCCAGAAATATTTGATCAGAGTTTGTTATTTAAAGGTTATAGGGAGGTGGTACATACCTGTTTGTGCATCTCTATGTTCAACCCATAAGACATCTCGTAATACTGAAAAATACAACAAAAAGGGTTCAAATTACACAAAATCTGAGATAATTTCATGATTGAACAAAACAAATACACTCTGCACAACAATCAATGCAATGGATCCCTACACTAATCACATTATCACATGCTTTTGAACAGTAGGATAAAAATACCCTGAAAGGTGATGAACTAAGATCAGACCAGAAAAGAACTTCTTTAAGGAGCTGTGCAGCAGTCAATGAATTGATTCCCCGCCCACCCCCTGCTGTTTGTAGTGAAGGCACAAGAAGGAAAGGGTTAGATGTATTGATCACTATCTTAAGCCCTCAGATCTCCACGATGTCTGCTTACTTAGCGTAACGTGATTGCTCAACACTCTTGATATTTCCAGCCTGGTCAGTCTGTCTGTCTGTCTGGATGAAATGTAATCCGTCGAGTCCAGAATTGGCAACCGGGGCAGAAATGGCTTTCCAGTCAGCGTCTATTTGATGAGGCCAATGCATTATTCAGTCCATTAGCTTCTTCGAAAATTACTCTCAAACAAGAGAGCCATTCTGTCTGAGATCAGAGCCCTACAGCCGTAGCGTAACCTGACACCCATCGCTGGCTGTGGAATACTTCCCAACATGTTTACCTAACCTCATGGTTGTCAGGCTGACATGTTGTTTTCACACGAAAAAAACAAAACAAACAAAAAAAAACCCAAAAAGGGGTTCTTTAATTCAGGACAAAATATATTTGTGTAAATCTCTCCCACTGTGTGTGTTTACTCGAGACAAGCGAGTACACATCCACAGGAACACCTGCTCATTGCGTCATGTCTGGGCTCATTTCTTGCGTCAGCGGCACACCTATGTTTTTCTTAAGGGCTGCTTAAATAAAAGCTAATAATTAAAGATTATAAAGAACGGTACTGCAAAGATACACCGCAAGCCTGTTCCACAGCCTCCATCTTGTTTACTGTGGTCTGCGCCAGCAGCTCGCACCTAATTTATGGCCCTGCATATGTCTGAGCATGGTGTCTCCAAGGAGAATAATCAGATCAGCACACACAGAGGGCAAAGCTGCAGTCAACCCCTTGGAGATCGGAGGGGCGGGCTATAATGAAGCCCACTGCCCGTCAGGAAGAGCTCTTCTGTAACAACTGGCTGCTCTATACCACACCTCCTCTCCACCACCACCACCCTGAGGGCTTTCACAGGCCTGTACCTGACACCAATGCCGCCTTAACCACCACATGCAGGTGATCACAATAGCCCGTGTCGCTCCACCCTGACCAGATCTTCAACAAGCCTTGCAATTTGGTACCATAATTGCTCCCCATTGTAACGCAAGCTTACCATGACATAGTGGCGCTGCATCTCTGTTTTCTCATTGGCCAGTTTGTCATACTCCACCTTCAGACTGAAAACAGAAGACAAGGTGTCAATTTCAACCTCTTCAGCACTCATTCATGCATATCTACCTGCTCAGAGGAGGGGGAGGAAAAAGTCCATCTTTCATTTCAACCCATTTATTACTCTAAAACTCCACAGACCAATAAAGCAAACTGACATCCTTGTCATTTCTGTGATAATCATTACCTGTGATACTGGGCTTGGAGGAACTGAAACTCATCTTTAATTCTGTCACAAGACTCGGCAACGGTAAATTTGAAGCCGGGCTGGCCGGGCTGATGTGGAGCCTGCAAAGAGAAGAAAAGAAAAATCTCAGCAATCCGACTCAGAGTTGAAATTCACCCTTTCAAAGATATGAACATCTCTGCAGTAAGGCATTTTCCCAAAAAGCAGAGGCGAGTCCATACTTCACACCTCCAGCTGTTAATAACATCACATGAGTAGGCTTTCACACTGAATCTCAATTCTCTCAGACAGGAATTTAAACCACCACCTGTCTTCACATTTTGCACGAGTCATACCAGTAACATCATGCAAATATGCAAAACATCTTCATAGGCTACTCTTATTCCAAAGCATGGCATGACCTGCATGAATGGTGGAATAAGGGGGCTTTGCAGCAGGATATTTCTTCCTTTCTTACACAAATGTTTTAGATGCTTAATAGAAGAACCCATCTTACCGGATGTCGGCCCTGTGGATACATCTTTAAATGTGTCCTTTGTTTATGTCTCCAGTGTGCAGGTCCTTTAGCAAAAGGCTGGAAATTTGCTCACAGATGTCAGTCTCAGCAGACAGGGGTGGGATAGAGGGGGTGAGGGGAGGTCGTGAAAATCCTGTATTCGAGGTGGGAAAAGAAGCAAATTAACCTATAGAATAAGCAATTTAATGCAAATCTAAACAATCCCCTAAATAAAAACAACAAAAAAGCACAACAACAACACAATCCGTGCCCCTCTGTCTTCTTGATGACCTTATTCGGTTTGTGAGCAACGATTTTTAAACATTTACAGGTGTATAAAGATATGTAGCCAAATTTATTTTTGAAGAAGCGAATATAAAAAGCTCGGACCGATTTGTCTTTGTATTGATTTTTCCTCAAATAAGCAGAAAGCCCGCACTTACAGGACACCACCGACGGCCCGGCAGCTGGCTTTTCCAACCACTTTGACTCCGCGCAGAGGCGCGCTGCGGAGCGCACGCCCAGAAAAAATAAGCATGAAATAAATGAAAGAGAAATCAAAAGCTGGGAGAAATACATACCCGAATGTGCGTCCTATTCTTCGGTCCGACCTTTGTTTCCCCAAAAAGAAGAAAAAAAATACAGAAGGCTATAATTTAGGCGCTTAATTCCTTGTAATGTGGATCCAGATCTGGAGAAGCATCCTCCACTCTCTCCAGAACGCACCCAGTCAGGCTGGACTAGACTGCAGGGAGCAGTTAGGAGGAAAAAAAATCGCTCGGTCGGGCTCGATTAAACTACTTTAGTCGTCGTCGTTGAAGCTCCGAGGAATGCGCTCCTTACGCGGCTGGTTAATCCCCTCAAAAACGACAAAAAAACATATATACATATAAGCTTCCAAAAATCTCTCCTACGAGTCGAAGAGGTTCTTTAAAAGCGTAACACGGTACTCTCCACAATCTCGCATTTCCCCCCCAGTCGTCCAGCTTACCCCCGGTTGCCACACACAGGCAGCAGGGCTGAACTGCCGTGGAAGCGTCTATCTGTCCAATCGCATTACTCGGAAGGAATATGGCCACATCTGCCTATCGGAGAGCGCCGGGCCCCACGTGGGGTGCAGCGATACATGACATCATCCCGCGGATCCACAATGCATGAGCCGCCCCCATCCCACCGTGGATACGACAACAGCAGCACGTATTGATGTGCCGACGATCATCTCCACATTTGACAGCGGCAGCATAAACAGCACAACGCGCTTCATTATGGAGGTTTTTTTTTTTTTTTTTTGCCGTTGAAATTATTTTATTTATTTATTTATTTTTGGGGGGAGGGGGGTTGAGGGGGAAGGGCGGTAAGGTGATGTGTTTTCCTGCAAGCATTTTGCAATTTATACCCTCCATACAAGGAAAACAGCTATAAAACTCGTAGTGTTGGGACTGTGAAATATCTGGAGTGAATCCACCTCAAGAAATTCGAGTTTAATCCGCCCTTAATGCACATGCACCATGAAGGGCGCGATAATGACCAATCGATCGTCGACGTTGGCCAAACTAAAGCCATAAATTTCTTCTTTAAGCGACTCGTGATTGTTGCACAACACGTCCGCGCCCCTACCTATCAGCATTTGGGCGATAGCTACACAGCGGGAGGGGAGAGAGGAGAGGAGATGATTGCCTTTGTGTGATATGAACATCAGCCATGTCTGAGCACTGCCTTGTTTTGAAGGTTCAGCTCCAGCCCCACGTGGGGACCTCCTCTGCGACTTTAAGGCCTCTCGACCAATAGCGGCGCAGTGCACTTACTCCGCTGCTTCCCATTGGTCCGCCCGCGCTGAGCCTGTCATTCTCGGCGCGGGGTTGTCAATCAATACCACGCGGGGTCAAGCGCTGACAAATGCCTGTGCTCCCCGGTCCTCTGCCTGTGAATAGAGCCTGGAATGGCTGCTTAATTAGCTTCGAATGGCTTTTCTCTCCAGTTCAAACAATCTGTTACCACCACGTGGTAATGAGAGCCTACATTAAACAAAGGGAGATAGGAAGCATGCAAACAGTTGTAACATTACAACCTGTAGTTTTTTCCTTTACATACGGGTCTATGTAAAAAAGGAGACAAAACATGCTGTTTATCACAAAGGCAAATCAACCTGTATTAACGGTAGCCATGGTTTTAATGTATGTTTATTTTCCATAAAATAAAAGAGACATTACTACTACTAAAACAATTTTAGCTGCACAAAGAAATAGAATAATTTGGTTTTGCTATATTAAGTAATATGTCTAGCTCAGTTTTTTTTTTTTTTTACAGCATATTACCGGAGCCAGCAAACTAAGCAGCTATATCTATACCCTTTACTTCACCCTTATGAGCAGAACACCCAAGAGCACTAGGGCTTACAAAAGTGTCTTTGGTACTATAAGGGTACTATTTGGATTTATGCCTGTACATTTTGACCTCTGTATTTAACCTGTATAGTTAATGGCAGGGTATGAATTACTCTTTTTTTTTTTGTTTGTTTGTTTCTTCTGACTTCAATTTCCTTCCCATGAACAATGGTCTACATGTTTTTTTTTCTTTTTTGCTTTTTTCATGACTTGTGTTGGTACATGTTCACAAAATGGCTAGCTCTCGCGTGCTTTGTGCTGAATTTTCATTTATTTTGGTTTTAAATGTTGTTTGGGATTGATATCTCCTCTGAAACGAATAGTGTTGGGAATTATAATGTAACTAGTTCATGTTAAAAGTTGCCTCCCCCCCAAAAGTACCTAATTGAGTTGTTATTGGAAAAAGTATGCTATTTTGAAGGATTTTTTTTTTGTTATTGTAGCATTAAATACATTTTATTGTGAGTTCAGCTGTGAGCAGAACTATCAAAGTTAATTTTTTTTATATTACTAAGGCTGTAATGTTGTGTCATTCATGAATGGCATTGAAAAAAATTATTCAAATCACTTAGATTACCCGATTCATTTCTTTCTCATTTTAAACTCAGGGTGAGCTGGTTGGATGCTGAACTATTGCGTTTGATGATTTAAACAACAGCATCTGTTATTTCAAGCTAAAGTAAGCTGGAGAAGGTTCACCAAGCAAACCTTCCAGATACACAGAATTCTGCCACTATGGAGAGATCCACCTGCCTAGTATACAAATCAGGCGATGATTCATTACAGTGACTAATCCTGTGTTACTGTATGAACAAATCACAGCGTGAAGAAATCACGACCTAATTCTTTCAGTGTGTACAGAGTTCTGAGAGTTGTGTTGTCTCACTTATTCTCTATACTAATAAAGTGAGATAGGAAGAAGGTACTATAATAGAGAGACAATTTACATTTCAAATATTGTTATAGAAAGGGATCTTTCTCATAAGTAATGTTTTGTTTTCCAAAAGTCATATGGAAATTGTAATAAAGTTTTTTCTTTATTATGAGGCGACAAAATTTCAAAATAAGGTGAGATGGGATGTTTCTGATGTGCATTTCCTGTTTTGAATTGAAAGAAACATACAATTACCATCAGAGTTGGACTGAAATTGACTCGATATCTCAATATGAAAAAAGATTACTACTCTAGAGTAGCTTAGCATGTGTAGTGGTACAACCCTGTCAGTATAACTATCACTGCAATATATTTAGGAAGACATTATTGCATTCAATGTTTATAAAAAAGAACAAAAAGACAAACAAACTTCTTTAAAAATGGATTGCTATCCACATTAACATGCGTTTAAATAGGTACAACACTGAAAAATAATGCAGCATACGTAGTATAACAATGAAGATCTTTGTCATAAATTTAAACAGTGGTCAATTGATTCTAGACAACAGTCAGGTAGAGCAGTAGTTCCAATATTTCTGTATGCATAAAAGAAGGAAATAACAGAGTATCGTTCAAGTGATTTCAGTAAAACACATAATTAGAAAAGTGCAGTGTACTGCAAAACTAAGGCACACATTTGTAAGTCAGTAAATGTCCTGTACTTATAGCACTTTTTCAAGTCAGGAGACTTGAAAAAATGCTTTACAGTCATTCACCCATTCACGCCCACACCCACACACGGTGGCAACTACATTATAGCCACAGCTGCACTTGAGCTCACTGATAAAAGCCACCGGGCCCTCTGACCACCATCAGTAGGCAATGCAGGTGAGGTCTCATGCCGTAGGACACAACACAATTGAAGGCAGAACTAGGGCTTGAACCGGCAACCATGCAACTGCAGGGAAGACTCCCTCTCCCAACTCTTTGGCCCAGTGTTGTCGAATAATGAGGCAATGAGGGGTGCTTCATTAGAGCTATATGTATCACTAAAATAATAATGCCCTCACTAACACTGCTATTTTCTGCTTTACTTCCAACTCCGATTGAGAACAATTACTATAGGGGACATCCTCCAGGTAGATACTGTTTATTGGAGTCATAAAATCTCCATTTGTTCCAGTAGTCAATGAATTACTAAAAGTATCTACAAAGTATAAAGTAACACAAAACATCCTACTGTAAATGCACCATATCGTTCCTAAAGTTGTTCAGTGCAAGTTACCAACATTTTGAAATAGCAAAGAGGTGAAGCATTCAGCATGTGTTAGCATCACTTAACTAACGACAACCTAACATATGTTTTATGCCAAGTAACTCAGGGAACCTAAGCAGCACGTTGTCAGTTGTCCAGTTAATTATTCTATTATGCTTTATTGATTTCTATAAGTGGACTAATAGCTGATTATTTAATTTTTTTCTTGGAGCACACAGTGTCATTTGTAATGGTAGATTGCTGCAGGGTCAATGACACAAAACAACAGTCTACTGTTGCTACATCTCATATGAAGGAGCGAAGTCAATGACTTAATGCAATCAGCTTGGTTTCCTTGAATAGAAAAAATTTGACGAGTTAATCTTTATGATTTGATGTAATTGTCAATGTAAAGTGTCTTGAGCCAACATGTGTTATGAATTGCAACTGAATCAAATGTATACTGCACACTCACCAAAACATGGCGCAAGATTTTTATTACATTTTAAATAAATCAATGAAAAGAGGGAGGATAATGACCGACATCTTCTCTAATGCCTCAATGCTATTAACTTCTGAGCTGGAGGAGCTACAAATAAGCAATCCCAACAGAATGCTTTCGCGAGCACTGTCAGTGAGGAATTATTTCATGATGAATCGGCTCATGTGTGTGATGTGGGTGGATTAGCACAGCTGCTGTGATTATAGATACAGTTTTTTAGAGAGGAATCCAGATATACAGTATATGTTTTGAAATGCTTGTATTGGTGAAATCTGATTTGTTTTGATTAAACCTATGTTTGTTAGTGACATCTGCTGTTTTGTTCTTTGCTGTGGAATGAACAAAACATTCTGTCAGATAATGTTTGTTTTTATAAAGGAGAAATAAGAGGAGAGAACTACAAGTTAAGGGCTGGTTATACTCTTGCAACAGTGTGTCGCAGTGATCTTGCTGCAGATATTTTTGATTTATGCCCAATATTGAAGTGTGGGTTGTGCTATGTTATTCCACGCCACAACGCAAGAGGGGCAGTCACAAACTAGCTGTGGGTCTAGATACAACTGAGGTGGTGAGGAAGTGGGGGCAAGTTTGTGCGACAACGAAGGAAAATGAGGGCGAACAATTGCGGGGATCCAGATGGAAAAAGGCTCCCAGCATTCTTGTGCACCTCGCTTTTCTAGCTGGTTAAACTTCAAGAGTTGTTTTCCACAATGGCGGTCATACATACAAAACAAGCAGGTAAGGTACCAAACAGAAATACCCATAGTGTAGAGCGGATGTGGATTTGACCAATCAGAGGTGCACCAGAGTGTCTGCAGAAAGGGCATGGGCACATTTGCGTTCACTGTGACACACACGCAGACTGGTTTCTTAGTATAAATCATGCCTCATATTGGTGCTAGTCAAAAGCAAATCAAACACTGATTCCCACTGGATTTCGACATCATTGCTACAACATGGTCAACTAATTTGAGGCCTATCACTCATATTAAAAACTGACACCGCTGCAGCTCATAATTTAAAGATGATAATATTGC